GCTTGGGTGTTAATGAAATTAACAGCAGGTGCACTAGATGGGCAACAATGAGACGACCCCCAAAACATGAATGGTTTTACAGGTGGAGGCCACTGACATTTTTTCCCTACTCATCTTTTCTGACTGTTTTTCACTAGTTTTGCATTTGGCTAGGGTAAGTGTCACTACTGGTAGCATGAGGTGATACCTGGACCCTACAGAGGTTGCACACACAGTCCAACTCCTCTAGAATGGGACATCAATACATGGTAGCATCAGGCGATACCTGGATCCTAAAGAGGTTGCACAGGCAATCCAACTCCTCCAGGATGGCACATCAATATGTACCTTTGCCAGATTGTTTGCTGTGTCTCCCAGCACAGTCTCAAGAGCATGGGGGAGATTCCAGGAGACAGGTAGTTACTCTAGGAGAGCTGGACAGGACGGGTATCTGCTCCTTTGTGCAAGGAGGAACAAGATGAGCACTGCAAAAAACCCTACAAAATGACCTTCAGCAGGCCACTGGTGGGAACAACATTATGTTGCCTGTAACATCATTCAGCATGACTGTTTTGGTGGTGGGTCAGTGATGGTCTGGGAACACATATCCATGGAGGGACGCACAGACCTCTACAGGCTAGACAATGGCACCCTGACTGCTATTAGGTATCGGGATGAAATCCTTGGACCCATTGTCAGACCCTATGCTGGTGCAGTGGGTCCTGGGTTCCTCCTGGTGCACGACAATGCCTGGTTTCAGGTGGAAAGAGTATGCAGGCAGTTCCTGGAGGATGAAGGAATTGATACCATTGAATGGCCCCACACTTGCCAGACCTAAATCCAATAGAACACCTCTGAGATATCATCTGTCGGTCCATCTGACGCCACCAGGTTGCACCTCAGACTGTCCAGAAGCTCAGTGATGCCCTGGTCCAGATCTGAGAGGAAAACCCTAGGACACCATCTGTCAACTCGTTAGGAGCATGGGGGCCATACAAACTACTGAGTACCATATTGAGTTGCTGCAATTACATTTCAGCAAAATGGACTAGCCTGCTGCATAATTTTCACTTTGATTTTTGGGTTGTCTTTGAATTCAGTCCTCTGTAGGTTTATAATTTTCATTTTCATCAAATGATGGGACATCCTTATGTTCCTAACACATAACCCAGTCCATATCAGTATAGATATCCAGCATGATATTTTTCCCCATTGAGATCTGATGTGTATTTTAAATTACACCATTCCCACGGTAATTAGAGAGGTTGTAATTGCATTCTGAAAATGCTAGTTGTCTGGTGGTTATGGTGATACTCCATCTTTAAAATTTTCAGTCTCTGACACAAGTATGCAGCTTCGCAAATACTAACATCAGACATTATGTGTGTAACCCATTGAAATGTTATTACCTACAATACATTAAAATGGACATTAAATGGCGGTGGTTTGCCATTCAGGGTCACTCACAAGGACAGAACAGCTCTCTGGAACTTGTATGCTGCACAGCAGGACTCAGCTGGTGAGCAGGGCAGAGACTGAAGGAAAAGGAGATGTGCTGATGGCTGGAGTGCTGAACCGGGCCTCGGATCCCAGGTTGGAAAGAGAGGAAGAGCAGAAAAAGACCACCTGGTCTGCCACGCTCTCCAGCAGGCCAATCTGACAGCAGGAGTCCAGATGGGACACTGAGTCTGAGCTGGAGAGTTTGCGGACTGACTTACAACTTTGATCGAGTTAATACTGACAGTTTTCCACCTCAGCTACCTGCTTACACATAGTTGTGACTATTACATATAGTTGCATCAGTTTGCAGCCTAGTTCTCGCAGCCACCATCACTGAGATACATCTACATTACAGTTTATTGTACAACCTGCTGCAGGACATACAGTTGCAAGACAGGTTACAGCAGTGTCAACTGAGACAGCAAGTTTCCCTTCTTCAACAAAGCAGGATTCCCATTATTTTTGCCTTTGATGTACAGAGGGAGCTGTCTTTACCTATAGACATTTATGCCAATTGTTGCTATTCATTACTCCAAGCCTGCCCATGTTCAGTACTCTAAAGGGGACCCCACCCTAATTTGCTACCATCAAGAGGAAAAGTGTTAAATCTCCTTTGTTCCTTCACTATCTTTGTGTTACCATCCCAAGGAACTATATTCCATACCTCAACTCAACTTCACCCCAACTGGGCCCCAACAAGCGCGCAGAAGACACTGTAGTGTTCTTAAAGGGACAGTACTCAATTTCAAACGATAATTCTCTTTCCTTCACATCTAATGCTTGTCATCTAGTTCTGATGACCCACAGTGAGCTTACCTATTTCTTGATAGTTGTTTCTGCTCACTGGGGATTCGCAGTCCCCTCAGATTGGAGGCAGTGGATTATTTCTGAAAGCAGGCCTGCTAACAGTTATTGTTGTTTTATGGTGAATGTTGTTACTTTTGCTCACAATTACCAAGAGAGATTATATTTGCTGCATATATCAGTGTCATTTTGTTCTTTTTGACAAAGTTACCTTTAATTCCAATATAAACTTCATATTGGTTTATCCTAACTTGTGAGTCCATTTTGCAGTTGTGATTGACTTGGGTCACAAAAGCACGGTGGTGTCAGCAGAGGCTGGGCTTTCCACAAAAGGTCCAGATTGACAGGAAACCCAAAACAATTACTAAGCAACCCCAAAAGGGGGTAGTGCTGCATGTGCATACTTGTTCTGTGTTACTGACTCTTGAAAGCCAGAGTGTTGGCATGGCAACCAGACAAATAACATTTGGTAGAGTGTGTGGCAATCTTTTATTTCTCTTGAGAAGAGTTTCCTTTTAAGTAAATTAGGACCAGGAAGGATATACAGTCATGTGAACAAATAAGACCGCCTCAGGGGAGCTGTTGACTTTTTTCAACATATTTAAAATGACAGTCACATTCCCTCTGTTCTAAACTGCACAGGACCTTACCAGTGAAAGGCAGGGAAATGACCACGCTGTTTTCTCCTTTCCTGGTGTAGTCAGTTTTCAATAGGAAAGCAGAGGGACTGGCAAGAACACCAGGGATTTCACACAAAGGATGCTCATATACTAAGAAAAACACAGAGAAAATGTGACTTTTCAATCATTTATTATTTAAAAAAATTAAAAAAAAATGTAATGGTATGCTATGGAAAACATATCAACCACTTGTCATCAGAAGCTAGTATTGTTCCCTGTAACAGAACTGATTTTGTTTTTGCTGTGTTTTTGCATAACTGCCTGGCCCGTTTTCTGCCATTGTCCATTCAAATGGTATTCATATTAGGGCTTTGACTATGCCAGTCCATAATCTTTTTTTTTTCTGAGTCACTAATTGGTTGATTTGCTAGTGTACTTCAGATCATTACGTTGAAATATCCATTTCTGGTTTAATTTCAACTTTTAAAGAGATTGTCCCACATTCTCATCATGTCCACTTTGATATGATTGACTTGGGGACTACAAGCAGCAAAGCAACCTCAAACCACATTTCCACCACCATGCCTCCCAGTTGGTTGTGGTTCTTCTACTAAAATGCTGTTTTTGGTTGGTACCAAACATGTCTACTGTAACAGAGGATCATGCAACTCTATCTTTAATCTTCATCAGTCCACATCACATTGTTCCAGAAGGTCTGTAGTTTTGCTCCAATGTTTTTTTTAGGCCTCATGCACACTGGACATTTTTGCAGCTACTTCTACGGGCATCATGAGTTTTTTTTTTCCTGCCTCTAAACTCTCCTACATGTTAGTCTTTATGTCCATGCACACATAGGAGATAATTTACTAACACTGAAGAGTGCAACAATCTGGTCTAGCTGTGCATGGTAGCCAATCAGCTTCTAACTTCAGCTTGTTCAATTAAGCTTTGACAAAAAACCCTCAAAGCTGATTGGTTGTTATGCAGAGCTGCACCAGATTTTGCACTCTCTAGTTTTAGTAAATAAACCCCATAGGCTTTTAGAATAGACAAGAGGCATGGCTGTTTAGTGACAGGAAAAACCCCCAGAACAGGTGCATTCTGAAGAGGAGCTTGTCAGTGCTAAAAACGCCTTAACGCTTGTAAACAGCAGACAGCAAAGGCTTTTTCTTGACATACCTCCCATGTAGGTTAAATTGTTGCAATTTCTGTTTTATAGTAGAAACATGCACTTTAGCACCATCTGTTGTATTTATATTTGATCGTTACCACTATGTGCGCAGATATCTGCATGTGCATGCAGATCCTTGATGCAAGCGTACAGGAACAGTTTATCCCTGCTCATTTCCTTTAGTAAATTAGGCCAGTTGAAACAACTGTAGAAATGGTGATGCTCTTCAAAAGTTTATTAACCACTTCCCGCCCAGCCTATAGCCAAATGACGGCCAGGTGAACCTCATGTCCCTCTGGGAGGGCGTCATATGACGCCCTTCCTGGATCACGCTTTGCACGCGCCCACAGGAACGCGCTGTGGCGAGATCTGTCACCGGCTGTGAACCTCAGACACGGATGATAACAGATCTGTGTACCGACCCCGTTGCCAGTACCATTTGACCTGCTGTGACCAATCACAGCAGGTCACATGACAGTTGTATACAATGGATGGCTTCCTTTCATGCCATCCATTGTATGCAAGTGTGTCTAGCTGTGAATGGTCACAGTGATCACATGCACAAGATAGGCCAATCACAGCCCATCTGTATCATATGATTAGCCATGGCCAATCACAGCTAATCACAACAAAAAAACCTGAATGAATCATTCAGTTAAATGCTTGATATTATTTGCTGTAAGCAATAAAACTGTGTAAAAAAAAAACAATACTGATCACGTTCCCAAAGTAGTACAATGTTACTTTGGCAATATTATACTACTTTGGTCATAGTGTAATATGAAAAAAAAAATCTTAAAGAGAAAAAAAGTAATAAAAAAATAATTAAAACTGAAAAAAAATCATCAATTTTTTTTTTTCGTACTGTCACCAGTCAGTGTCCCTGATCACTGCCACACCAGTTATATGATGACGCTGAACTGCACTGGTGACAGTATGTAAAAAAAAAATTGTGACATTTTTTTTTTTAATTATTAATTTTCCGAAGAAGTATGACAAAGTACAACTTCAAAAAACTTGCCAAGCCTCTTATGAAATACGTCAGACTGTCTACTTTGCAAAAAGTGGTCATTTGGGGGATATCTGTACTGTTCTGACATTTTTGGGCCTCAAGAAATTACACTGGCTGTCAGTACTTCAGGACTGATCAATATTCAGATATATCCCATAGTTTGTGAACTCTATAACTTTCCTACAGACTAAATATTAAATACTGATTTGGGTTATTTTCACCAAAGAAATGTAGCAGAATACATCTTGGCCTAAATTTATGAAGAACAATTCTTTATTTGCAAACTTTTATAACAGAAACAAAGAAATGTATATTTTTTTTTTTTTAATTTTCAGTCTTTTTTTGTTAATGTAGCAAAGAATAAAAAAAACCCAGTGGTGATTAAATACCATCAAAAGAAATCTCTAGCTGTGTGAACAAAATGATAACATTTTAGTTTGGGTACAGTGTTGCATGACCGCGCAATTGTAATTCAAAGTGTGAGAGCGCTGAAACCTGAAAATTGGCCTGGGCAGGAAGGGGGTAAAAGTGCCCTGTATTGAAGTGGTTAATATAAACCCATCACCAAGACAGCAGCGTCCGACAGCAGAACTTTGTTGTGTTTTACACCAAATGTGTCAAAATTCGTTTATTTGATGCTGCTATTTTGATGATGGTTTATAGATAGATGGATTATTAGACTTCTGAAAAGCATAGCATTTGTGTGCTGATTTTGGTTTAGCTATCATCTAGATATTTTTTTGGGCTTATTCAACAAAGAAGTTCAAAACAATGATGAAAGTTCAGTAACCCATAGCAACCCCCAACAAATGATCTTAGTTGATATAGTAGGTCAGATTGGTTTCTATGGTGTGCTGCACTTTGTACATCATCATTGCTCCCTGCTTGCTTTCCAAATCCGCTTGTTTATTTGTAATTCTTAAGATTTGCCAGAAGAGGGCGATCCTCACCCAGCGCCACAAACAGAATGCGTTGCCTTGCTGTGTGCTGTAATTGGCTGTATATGTTTGGTTTACAACACTTGTGTTTGACAAGCTTAATTTGAGAATTGTGTTTGTGTGTTTTTTTTTCTATTTAACCAGATCTCAGAACATTTAGAAATTCCAAATCAGGACAAGCCCAAACTCTGATCCCCCTGCCATCTGATCAAACATGCCAAAATACATGCAGGGCCCCACCATTTCTTCAGAACTTTCACAATGTGGGAATCAGAGGAAAAACATTTTGTTTGGGAGGTGTGGATTCCTTTCTTTTAGTCGTATTCATTTATGAGAACTTTTTGGAACTTGAAGGGGAACTGTAATGGTTTTGATCTGTTTCATTTCAGTCTTTTTAAATGGTAATAATTTAAAATCTATTTTTTTCCCCTTATTTGTACGATTTCTTTTACAAACATTTAACACAGGGTACATACTTGTATTTTGTAATTCCCTGGCTTGATTTGCAATGCTTATTTTGCCTTCTAGACACCTAGTACTGCCGCTCACTTTTATATTATATTATTTATATGTTATTTATTATATTATTTATATATTTAAACATTTATAGCTCACTATGAGTTGACAAAATGGGGGTTTCCCTCTCATCCAGCTGTGTGTGAATTGAGTATGTGCAAATAGCATGAGTTACAATTATACTCAGACAATTCACATCATAGCAGTAAATGGCTGAGCAGACGTTGACTACACTTAGCTGTAAGGGCTCATGTACATGGGGCGTTTGAAAAACTCTTCTGAATGATGCAAACTGACTGCTGGAAAACGTAGATTAAAAAACATCTGTTTAGCCGTGCTTGCATACCGCGTTTATGCGCATTTCCGTTTAGAAGCGTTTTTTAACCTCAGGAGACCCTCACAAATGCCCACATTGCAGAAAAAATTAACTATTTCAGACATTTTGAGAGAGCAGAAGCAGAGAGCAGTATGTATTGAGATGGCCTGTCTTTTATGGTTGTATTCACTATGGATCCCATCATGAGCATAATGCAGCACGTTCTACCACTTTTTCCTTCGCGCGGAACCTGGAACTGACTGCACTGGTGTACTAGATCCATTTGAATACATGGAAAACGCTTTGCATGCGTTTCTGATGAGGAAAAAAGGCTCTGGACAGCATCTGGACATGGAACAGTTAAAAAATACTTCTAAATGCGGTTAACTGCGTTTACAAGCGTTTGAAACGCCAGTAAAATCTACTCCTGAACACAAGTTTCGTGCGTTAAAGAAAAAGACTAAACTTAACTCCCTGTAAATGACTATGTGTACATGGACACATAGGAAAACATTAGGGAGAGTTTAGGGGCTGCTGAAAAAAATGCAGAAAAGCTCCTGAACGTTTAGCAGCTTCAGTGTACATGAGCCCTTAGAAGTAAAAAATAAATCCTCATGTGCAATATATTTTCCATTTACCTGCCAATAAAGAAATATAAACAAAATGTTCTAGTCCTGTATAGTCCTGTATATAAAAAAGTAACACAGTTGGCTTCTACTAGTGCTGTATACTCATTATTTATTCACTGCTGGTATTAGCCAGACATTATGTAAATCGAGCCTCCGAATGACCCCTGGACGCACACAGTCTGCGTAGTTGGTTTATCTGCTGGGTTTTGGCCTCACACAAACTGTCTGCAGCTAATCGGCCAATTTGTATGCGGCCATAGTGTTGCTGTGTCTAGAGCAATGTTTAGATGCCTCTAAATGCAGCTAACTGTCCACATCCATTCATCCATGTGCCGAACGACCTCTTTAAAGGATACGTTCACATTTAGCAACATGTTACATATAGGGTGTAACATAGTACTATACAACATCCCCGCTCACCCCCTTCAAACCCTCCCCATAACAGCACGCAGAGGTTCTTCTACGTGCACCCACTGTCCCTTGTTAAAAGCAGTGCAGTTGTGCGGTCCTCGGCCCACACAACCACATCTTTCATTCACAGGGATCTGTGAAGGATCAAGCCTGCCTTTTAGATACATAAAGCAACAGGTTTTCATTGTGCACCATTACAACCTTCTAGCCACCGGCATCCTAACAGCCAAGGATGCCATTAGTTGATCAGGAGGACATCAGGCACCTGTACAGCATCCATGCCCCTCTTCATCAGCACTGGGGCACATTAACTGAAGGAGAAGAGAAACACTGCAATGCTAGTCAGTACCAGTGTGCAAAGGTGTATTTGCTTTGGAAGTATAGCACCCTCCTAGATAGCTAGGGAGAGATAGAGTCCAATTGTTAGACAGAGGCTGAGTAGCAGCCTGTGATAATAAGGGAGTCAGAGGAGAGGCTCTGCAGACCAGTACTCTGGAACTTCTCCATGCTCTAGGATTTTGGAGAAGATTCAAGAAGCAGTGGGGGGGGGGGGGGGGGGGGAGGAGTGGCTGGTCTGCACTCTTGAGGGATCTTGACCAATCCTCAACAGGAGGCTTGGCATGGGGTCGGGACAGTTCTTAAGAGAGAGAGAGCCTGCTCAGTAGCAGTAGAGTTCAGGTGGAACATGGAGAATTAGTGAGAGGCTGGAGAGCAGGAGCCTGGGAGGGGGACCAGATGGAAAGGAGCTCACCTACAGTAGAGGAGTTGGATAGGAGGAAAGCTCAGGACCTCATCGGCCCCCAGAGCGAGGACCCCCTATGCAGCAGGAAAGGAGCAGCCCAGTGGAAAGCTTATAGGAGGAGGACTGAGTGAGTAGATCTGCACCCCCTGGGCCCGTATGAGGAAAGAGCACACTGGTGGGAAATTGGATTATCTGCTACCCAGGACTGCCTTACCCTTAAAGTGACAGGCACTGAATCCCCTGCCCAGGGATTCATCCTGATCAGCTGGATAAAGGAGTATCTGGAGTCTGGGGTGGTATAATAGAAGATGTTGGCTAGCTCTCCAGACGACAAGTTTTTGCTGTAAAGACTTGCATATAGTTCCAGGAAGTTTGTCCTCTGTTGCCATTCCCTTGGGCATCCCATACACCCTTTACCCCATCCACATTTAAATTCCCCTAATAGAATCCAAAAAACAAGCTCAAGGACTGGTTACTGTCTCCTGGATGCAAGTCTGAATGGAAAATATGTATTTGCCTGGCTGCGCAGGACTATAGGGGGACCTAATACTTCAGCGACTCCTAAAGGAGTAGTGCTACAAACAAATTATTCACATTGGGTGTCCAAAGTGTGTGAATGTTGCTCTGATATGTAAAACTATTTGCTTAGTTTTTTTACATTTTAACCACTTCAGTACCGGGCACTTTTACCCCCTTCCTGCCCAGGCCAATTTTCATGTTTCAGCGCTCTCACATTTTGAATAACAATTGCGCGGTCATGCAACACTGTACCCAAACTAAATTTTTAGCATTTTGTTCACACAACTACAGCTTCCTTTTGGTGGTAGTTAATCACCACTGAGGTTTTTATTTTTTGCTAAATTAACAAAAAAAGAACAAAACTTTTTTTAAAAACCCACATTTTTCTTTGTTTCTGTTATAAAAGTTTGCAAATAAATGTTCTTCATAAATTTAGGCCAAGATGTATTCTGCTACATTTCTTTGGTGAAAATAACCCAAATCAGTATTTATTATTTAGTCTGTAGGAAAGTTAGTGTTCACAATCTATGGAATATATCTGAAAATTGATCAATCCTGAAGTACTGACAGCCAGTCTAATTTCTTGTGGCCCAAAAATCTCAAAACAGTACAGATATCCCCCAAATGACCCCATTTTGCAAAATAGACAGTCTGACATATATCATAAGAGGCATGGTTTGAAGTTGCAATTTTTTTGTCATAATTTTTCGGAAAATTAAGAAATTAAAAAAACTATTTTCACAATTTTGTTTTTACATACTGTCACCAGTTCACCAGGGACACTGATGTGACAGTATGAAAAAAAAATTAGATTTTTTTTCCAATTCTTTTATTATTTTTTTATTTTTATTAAATGTTTCTCTTTTTTAAGATTTTTTTTTTCATATTATACTATGACCAAAATACTATAATGTTACCATAGTAACATTGTACTACTTTAGGGAAGTGATCAGTATTTTTTATTTTTTTTACACAATCTGATTGCTTACAGCAAATAATCTCAAGCATTTAACTGAATGATTCATTCAGGTTTTTTTGTTGTGATTAGCTGTGATTGGCCATGGCTAATCACATGATACAGATGGGCTGTGATTGGCCTATCTTGTGCATGTGATCACTGTGACCATTCACACCTAGACACACTTGTATACAATAGATGGCAT